CTATCTATCTATCTATCTATCTATCTATCTATCTATCTATCTATCTATCTATCTATCTATCTATCTATTTCATTACAACTTTCATGACATTTGGAGGGGATGTGTACTAGTGTTGCAGTTCATATACAGATCCCACCAGAGGAATTCCTTTGCCTTTGACCTGCCAGGATTGTAGGAGGAGGATTCCTTGGTGAGTCTGGACAGACTCTAAGAGGTCTGCTAGAGGCTAGAAGCTGCTCAAGAGTGTTGATGCTGGGGCTGCCCTTCAGTTTTCCTTGTGTTTTCCTCAATGTATTTCAGTAAAACTGTAGTTCACATTGAGAGCCACTTTGGTGTAGTAGTTTAAGGCATCAGGCTAGAAAATGGAAACGCATGAGTTCTAGACCTGCCTTAGGCACGAAGCCAGCTGGGTGACCTTGGGCCAGTCCCTCTCTCTCGGCCCTTGGAAGAAGAAGGCAAGGGCAAACCACTTCTGAGAAACCTTGCCAAGAAAACTGCAGGGACTGGTCCAGGCAGTTGCCAGGAGTCAACACTGACTCAAAGGCACACACACACACACAAAAGCTCTCATTGGCCCATGTTCCCATCAGCATGGCCAATGTCTGGCTGTTCATGGGAGTTGTAGTTTTATCTAGACAGCACCAGCTTTGGGAAGGTGCTGTAAACTAAATCAAATGCACAAACAAGCCCTAGGATTGTTCTCATTTCCACAGCAAGGTATAACTTGGCCACTGAGCCAGGATTGAGTTTAAACTGTAATTCAATTGCATTTCGCAGTAATTGCATGTAACATCCTACTTTGGAAATGGATACTATCTTCTGGCAGAAGGGGAAAAAGGGGGCTTAATTAACCATTATAATTTTTGTCCAATCTCTCTTGGAAAGGCCAAGACTGTTTAGATTTAATTACCCTTGCACTTCAGAAAAAGATGGTTCTACCTTGTTAAGGTTAATGTATGATAATAAAGCTACTCAGTGAAACCTAATGCCCTTAGTGCACACAGTGGGGGTGTAGAAATCACTGAGAGCTCACTTGGAAGGCTCAAGCCAATGGAAAAGATGCTTTTAAGTGAATTTCCTGGGTTTCCATCTCTCCTCCTCCTCTTTAAATCAGACACTTCCTTCCTTGGTAATTAATGAGCCATCCCCTTTGTAGAAGATGTCAGGGTGCAAATGTTACGTACTCAGTTTGTAATTAGAAAGGGATTGTGTTCTTAACATCTACTGACACATTTCAAAGAGTTTTGCAGCCTATTATTGTGGCACTGTGCATCACAACAATCTTAGCAAGATAGGTTTTGTTCTAGAGATCTAATTCACATGCCCTTGTACCATTGGCTTGAAGATGCCTTGCTAGCCATTCTTGAACTGTGCTATTTTAATGATGCAGAGGATCACTGATAACCCTCTCCATGGCCATTTGAGCTCGGGTAGCAGAAGTGATCTGGCAGCAGGCACACAGTATGTCCACGTAATGTCTGACTGGTACTTGGCAAAGGTCTGGTCAGGCATTCCACGGGCTCCTTATCTACATGGATCTAGTGGTCTGGTGTGACATTGTAAGACATGTGAAAAAAAAATGTCTCAGCTGACAGGCAGCTCATGTGGTGGAATGATCCTGGATCTAGAGAGTGTGAGAGAAACATACAAGCGAGCAGGGAATTTGAGTGAGAAAGGTGAGCAACTGACTGACACAGGTGAGTGAGTGAGAGTAAAAGAGCAAATGAGGAAAGATAATGCACAGATCACCTAAATGGTGGGCAGGGGCTTCCCAGTAAAGTAGGAAGAGCATGAAGCCTCACTCACACCACAGATCTAGTTCTGACAGCTGGCTAAACCTACAGGTATACTCATTGGTTAAAACTTGTGTGGCTCTGAGATCTTGGCCTTTCCAGAATGGAAGACTTGTTCTGTATAAAGCATGAGCAGTGTATTACGTTAAAAAAAAAAATCAAGTTGGAATGAAAGTTCTGCTAAAAAATCAGAAAGAAGTTACAGGGAAGGGAGTAGGGAGTAATTACATTAACAATAATCAGCATAGTTCCTACCCACCCTGCCCATAATTTCATTCTCATTCTTTAGTAGGACTTTCATCCCAACTTGATTTTTTTACAATATATTCTACCCATGCTATATAGAAAGGATTTTGTTTCTAAAACAGATCTCTGTGACTGTTGCTTTTCCCTCATGATGTACTCCATTATAATGTACTGTTTATACAACAGGCAATCATAAGTTGATGTATGAAAATCATACTGCTATCACTTAGGAAGTCCATCAAAACCTAGTTATGTCATTAGGCCTGTGGGTCTTTGGGAATCGGAGACCTTCTTAGATGGCTCCACTATAATTGATATTCTGCTCTCTCCATCGTGTTTGTACATTTTAAACTTTTTGATAATATTTCCATTTTAATAATTACTTTTTATCTTTTTATTATGAATGTTTTTTAATCTATTGGCTGTTTTCTTAATTGTTGTATGCCATCCAGAGTTGCTTTGTGTGAGATGGGCAGCTATATAAATGTGACAAATAAATAAATAAATACATTTGGCATTATTATGCTACCATGTTTTCCTTGGGCCCCCCAAACCTGTTGCTAATAATCTTCCAGAATGCCAATAGTATTCTGAATTTGCAATAATCCTTAAGACTAAAAACTAATAACCAAGAGGACAGGATAATATGAACAGAAGGAATTACACAAGGATCTTTCTGCTTTTAATCTAATAGAATAAACATTTACTGATATTCATATGGATATCACATATAGCTTAAAATTACAGGCTGTGCTTTCTTTATACCTAGCAAGTACAGCTTTGTTGAGCATGTAGCTTTTAATTAGCATTTTCTGAATTTCTCTAATGTTTCTATATATTTAACCTAGATAAAAATAAACAACTGTAATAACATTTCACTGAGACTGAATAGCATCTTTAGATGATTATAACACTAACAAATGCAAAGCAGAGTAAAATTAAAACACAAGGGAGGCAATGATATTTATATGAAATGTATCTCTCCCCTCTTACAGAATTCAGCTCTAAGTGTTTTGTTTTTTTTTGGTAGATCAGGCTAAACAATATTTTAGCATGCAATCTGGGAAGATGGCCTCTGTACTGAAAGCACTTAATGAACCTTGTCTGATCTAGAAAGCTAAAAAGGTGGTTGGAGGACTATCCAAGACTTCCAGACCTGCAGACCAGACTGGGAAGTCCCTCTCCCTCTCCCTCCCCCTCTCCCT